GGCTGGTTGCTGAGCTGAGTTGGTCTCTGGCTGAGTTAGAGATTGAGTTTGTCTCTTTTAAACAACAAAGAGACTAGTTAAACCTTGGCATATCAACTACTATGGAGATATTATCGTTAAGGGAAAATATACAAACATCCGATACTGTTCGCTCTTCCTGTTTGATAAGAAAACAATTAACTATCTTCTTTTGTCTCTCTTTAATATGCCTATATAGAGGGTGTCGATATCATATTTACTATTTGACCATACTCAAGAGTAACCGTAATTTGCATGGTTCATTTACAAATTTCTGATTTTGTTATTATTGAAGCATTAAAATTTTTCACCACAATGGATCATTGTTCTTTGAGAAGATGCTTGACAAGTTGTTCCTCGTGAGTATTGTCATTAGTTAGTGCTCTTTTGTGAAGTGGTTTCAAATGCACTTTTCCTTGATCTGTTGTTTATTGTTCATGCAGGCTGATTGGAAACCAGAGTCACCAGATGAGTTTGGTCCAATTGCTGAACTTACTAAGTCCATTGATTCCATGAAGGTTGAAGAAACCAAATCACAAGGTTCTATTTCTTCTATGACTAAAACAACTTTGATTATCAAATTCTCATTTGTAGATGTGTTAACGTTGTTAATTATTTTCCAGGACAAGGGTCAACCTCCAAAAAACCTGCATCTGTGAACCCTCCAGCACAGAAACCTGCTGCTTATCACCCTCCACATGCTAAGAATGCAGCTGCGGTTCAGGCAGATGTATTCTCTGACAACTATGGGGTATCTTACAATGATGATTTGACCAAAATGCAACTTATAAACAAGAAACAGATAAGAGTTTACTAAGTAGTAAAAAAGACTTAGTTATGAAAGATCAATTTTGGAAGTACACCTCTTTAATAGACTCTATCACTGAAGATCCAGTTGCAATTATGGAAGATGGAAGGGTATGGATTTGCAAAATATAAGGGATACTGCATCTCCCTCCTAGCAGACTATTACTTACAGAGTCATACTGCAAAGGAATATTTATGGATTCTATAGCACTGTGCCCATCTGAGTCTTCATCTCATTCTATCTAGCTTATGAATGCATTATTAAGATTGCATTCTTGTAAATTTAATTGCTGTATGTGGCCCTGACTATCTTAGTGATTATGTAATTCCAGTTGTTTGGAGGGAGTACTGCAGGGTGAGTTCGCTTTATTATAATTTTGTCCTACGTCTATACGGTTTTGAATTTTGCACTTTAGGGTGCTCACAAGTATTCCATGTTAATATAGAGAAATAAGCAAGAATGCCCTCAGAAACAAGAAGAAGAGGGAGAAACAAATAGAGAAAAAGGCAGCTGAGGCAGCTAATGCGGCTGAGGCTACATGATAAGTGCAGTTTTACCCTATAGCAGTGAAAAACATTCATTTGTTCTGTATGATTTTGGCTTTGCTTACCTTTCGTGTAATTTCTTTTTCCCATTTTTTCCTAGGAAGGAGAGAACTGGGGAGGGGGTCGAGGGAGTAAAAATTTTGAGCTGAGCTGAAATATATTACGTATAAAAGCATGTGTTCGTGTATGCGCATTTCCATGTAGCCTAGTGCTTTCGAACCCTTGATATTGATGGCCAGATTGCGCTGCTGGTGAAATACTAAATGGCACTAACTGCTGTTTACACTTGGGTAAAGCTTTTGAGTTTATGAAGATTTGGATGATATTAGCTGTTGTTTAAGTGATGTTGAAGTAAAGGATTTATGCTTGCCAATCCCTAGGTGTGGCAAAATAGGATACGTTCCTGAAATCCTTTGCCCTTCGAGACTGTAACTCATAAATCTCATTTTGTCCACTTTAAAATTGAAACCGATTATTTTTTAGATGAAATCCTAGATCATTTTCGGTCAACTGCCAAGGCCTCCGAAAGGCATTTCCAAGGATTTTTATTTTTTTTTTATTTTTACGAAGTCTAACAGAATCTAACAAAAAGAAAACAAAATTCAAATTTTAGTTTAATTAATTCATGAAATCAATTTGAAGATGGGTTACTCACGATTTGATGAGTCAAGTGCCCTTGGAATGAGAATTTGATCTAGTAAATCTGATTACGAGGATGAATTATTATTATTATTATTATTTCAATCTCATCACACATGCAGAGAAAGTTATCAAAACAGTTTCCAATTCATGTTTAAGGATTCAAACATCATTCAACCGGTGCATGACTGCACTGTTTTATTTACCCGATTACCTCCAAAGAAGGAATGCTTTCATCAAGCCGCCATCATGGCTAAATAGAACAACAAAAGAAACATCCTGACAAAATTTTGAGCTAGTACCATTATGTCTCAAAATTTCACATCAGTCGTCCATTTACCTTGCACACTAGGGTGTTTGGTTACATACCTTGTCTTCAATTTCACCACCTTACTCCCCAAAGCATTCCTCAGCCTTGCATGAACAAGGATATCTTATGGAGTCATATTCTTCACACATATCACCCGCTTGTCTGAAATACTCATCCAAGAAAGTGATGTTGTCCACGGATGAGTTCAGTAACTACCTCCAGCTGAGGATTTTTCTCTTTGAATGTTGGTAACTGTGACTCCATAAATGCCCTGACATAATAATACCAAATAACTTAGCATGAAATTGAGATTGAGTTTAAAGAATCCAGCAGCCATTTAAAGGAGAATTCATATCTGTTATCTGTACATGCTTCTCATTATTATTAATTATAAAGCTTGATCTTGAGACTACCCAAGAATATAATTAACAATGACTGACCTCAAAGTTGAAAGAGTAAAAATTTCTCAGGTAATGTTTGGGCAAATTGGATTCATTAGCAAATAATGCCAGCATTAACCAGGTTCAGCCTGATGGTCATTCACTTAAAAGTGAAGAGATAAGTTGAACACAGGCTTAAACCTCCCTCACTGCATAGGAACTTCTAAACTCTCAACATTGATAGAAACATGCCTAAACCATCTCAAAATTGGCAGATAATTTTAGGGGGTAAAAGATATCCATGTACATTAAAATTTATACAGTGTTATTTCCACTGATTTATTTCAAAACTAAACAATCATTCAAACAGTGGGGGCCAGCCAGCCACAGAAGAACCAGGCTAATTTCACTTGATCAAAAAAAGGCACTCTGCTGATTACATAGACACACTCCACTTCAACTTATTCTTTTGGTCAATAAATGAACATTACTCTTTATTAAAGAAATTACAAACGTTACAAGTGCAAACACTTGTGCAAGTGTTAGATTTCTATTTTCACCTTCTATTTTCACCTATCATAAAGAATTAGTCATCTCCCCATACAAGACCATTAATATAGATATAAGGCACTGAAAAGAAATAAAAAAAAGGCATTTCCGTATTGTATCATGAAGTTCTTAGAAAACTCATTCATGTAATAACAATTCTTTGACTAGTGAATGCTGCCTGTTATCTTACCATCCCCTCAACATATGGTTTCCAAGAATTTCCCTCTCCAGCAATACCCAGAATAGCCTCAGTCACAAGACAAAACAAAAGGGTGGGTAAAAGAGCCTCTCTCTAATTTTTTTTTTTTGTCCCAAGATACTTTTGTGGATGATTATCTGCTATCTTCAAGTTTTCACTATTATTTCACTAGGAAATAAAGATGATTGATGCATATGCATGCAATGCTGATCTTGAGTACCCTAATGTAATCCAAAGTGCTAAGCGTTCAAATGTACTTGTCCAAATATTAACGACACTGGCTTGCCTCAAGAATAATTAATTTTTATATAGAAACAAGCCTCCATAACAGAAACATGGATGTTAACAAGTAGAAGAGAGAAAGAAACATACCTGATTCCCCTACTACTCCCTCCCCAATCACAATAACTTACAATCAGCTTTTTAAGTTGCCAAACTCCTCCTAATGCCATCTGCATTTTCAAGTACATAAACAAGTCATCAACTAATTACTTGCTTAATCCATTTTCTCTACAGAAAATTGCAGATAAAACAAATGAATTAGCAACTGCATCAATTGTAAGTTCATGTATCCGTTGTTCAAAGAGTCGAGTTCGAATCTCACTACCACCAGATTAAGAAAAAAGCTTTTAACATGCAATTAAACCCTAAACCTATAACTACCTAAGCGCTGGTTAAAAATAAATAAATAAATAAATTGAAGAAAAGGGATAACATCGCTGCCAACGAAGCGGTAAGGCCTTGAGCAGATATATATATGAATTAACATAGAGTAATGGAAGAAAAAGAAAGGGAGAGAGATATAGAGTGTCTAACCTTGATGTTGCGAGGCTGTCCTCCCAAGAATTTGGGCTGAGATATTGGGTCCGATATGACTCCATTTGGCAATATACGAGTCCACCTTCGATTTTTTTAATGGAAAATGGTTACCAGCCGTTTTAAGAAAGTATTGATTATTTCAGTTGTTCGAAAAACCCAAGTTTCCATTCTTCGATTTTCAGAAATGACGAAGTTTTCTTTACCCACCGACGTCTCTGTTGCGAGAAATAATTTCCATGTCTCTTATGGCGCCGATTTCATCGTATACCTGCTTCCATGTCTCCAGCTGTCTCGATTCTAACCTATGTATTATCGCTAGCAGTCCCTTTGTTAAATTTTATAGACAGCCTTAAAATAAATTCTATACGAATCAAATTCATTTTGATATCTTGGTGTTGGTTTTATGTTTAGGTCCAACTGTCTTTTTAACTGGTGCTAATGTCAAAATTAGAGTCAGCAATTTAAATCATCCCTAACGAATTCTAACTCGATCCGATTTTACAAAATTAATTTTTTTTTAAAAATTCAAATTTCGATTCGAATCGAATTAAATTATGCAACAATCAAAATCAAATCAAATTTAAATTTTAATTAAATAAATTTGACCCGACATTATACTAAAAACTTATTTTTTAATTAATTATATATATTTATATAATAATATTTTTAAATATTTATATTTAAAAAATAATATTTTATTAATTTCGAATCGAATTGAATTAAACACAATTTATATAATATTAGGTCAGATTCAAGTATAAAAAAACAAAAAAAATCGAGTACGATCGAATTCGGGAATTCGGGTTTGATAACACATAAAGTCGAATTGAATTTAGAGCGAACAAAACCCGCTCCAAACCCGACCCGATATCAATCCTAATCAAAATAGAAGAATGGCAGAGCAAAGAGCTAACCATGAATACCCAAATATCATTTTCGCTTCACATTGCTGCATAAAAAAAAAAAAGACCAACTATTCAAGTGGCAATAAGCAGATTACTTCTTAGTTTAAGAAAATACAACACACCCAACCAACATGTATCAGACTACAACACACTGGCTGTCAACGCTCAGAGAGAATTCTGCAGAAGCCAGCCAATATGCATCTTCTCCTGAAAATTAACGCAAAAGCTTGATGAGGACTGGGATTAAGAATGCTGCAGAAGCCAGGCCCAGTGTGATCCATCTGAATGGATTATTTGGCAGGAGCAAGAGCACGCCAGCCATAAACGCAAAGGCAGTAGCAATGCCACCCACAATTCCCATCTTTGGGGTGGCAACTTCAGAGTCACAGCTAACTGGTAATGTCTGTGGCTTATTGGTAATAAGGTACAGTCCAGCTAAACTAGCAGAGAATCCAACAACTGCAGATAATGCAGTAAAAGATTCCATGATTTCAGTAGAAAGTGATTGGGGGTTGTTGCTGGTCGACTTGGAAATCAGGGTAATGATTACACCACCATTGATTCCAAGTAAAGTCGTAAACCATTTTGGGTGATCTCTGGCAAGCTGAGGATTGCCGTTCAAGGAGACAGAGATTTCTTTCATCAGATTGGTTACATAATCAAGAACCGTGGCATGTGAGGGTTTAGGAACACTTGGAGACCCAGCAACAGAGATTGCCAAATCTGTACCGGCAGTATTGGTATGAAAGCCTGTTGTATGATGGTAAGGTGGTGTACCGTGCCCAGCAGCTGAGATTGCCACATCTGCACTATGACGGGCTGCTATATAATGAAGTGGAGTACCAGCTGATGGCTCTGACCTTTGATACTGAAACAGAATACCAGCAGCGCCATTATTAGGATTCCTGGCACGTGAGGGTTCAGGACCACCCAAAAGCTCAGCAACCGAGATTGCCACATCTTTCTGTTGGTTGGATAGATACCTTGTACCCGCAGCATTACTATGAAGATCTTCCTCTAAGGGGAGAATGGATTTTGTCATCAGCAGTGTGGGTTCTTCATCAAGAAACATGACACGGGGGAGTTTAGGAACACGCAGAGACCAATCAACAGAGATTGCCAAATCTGTATGGACAGCAACAGAGTTTAGGAACCTCATTTTATTTATAAAGTAAGATTTTACAAAATTTTAGTCCAACTCCAACAGAAAAAATAAATGAAAAATTCACATAACAAAACCATTATCCATTCCAACAACCCAAAACGAACATATCCCAAGCCACCCACCCATTTTCTCATCTGTGAAACTGGGCCTTTAGCCCCATTTGGCAACTTGAGGATTTTTAAAGCTCTTTGCAGGTATGATAAAAAAAGAGTCATAGTAACAATTTCATAGACTGGGCAAAATCTCTAAACCTTCTCCTAATCAAATTATTATTAATTTTTCAATAAAAAGCTAAACATAAGAAACTTGCAGGTTTAATTTCTTCATAATTCACAATGGGAATTATATTGAATGCCCAAAGTTTTCCAAAAGTCCAAACTTTTTTTTTTCAAAACTCATGGACCATCTTTGATGATCACTTTCAATAAGTGCTTCCCACAAGTCTAGTTCACTAATATTGTTTTAAAAGAATTTTAGTCCTGTTTGTTCAGAGATAGTAAGTTAATGATAGTTTTCTCTGTTACTAAGTTAATGATCGTATCATCAGTTAGTAAAATATTAAATTCTTAATTTCAATGATAAAAGTTTAATTCCCAATAATATCAAGCACACCAAAAAAAAAAAAAAAAACCCTATGGAGATAACCAATGTCAAAACAGATTTCGATGCCAAGAGCCTTAAAAATAGTTTTTCATACCTACATTGGAAACATAAACAATAAAATCATCATTATTCTTGCTTCAAGACATAAAGGTTAAGAGGGCATAAAACTTAAAGTTTGTTTTCAAGCAAATGTATTAGTCTGAGTCAAGCTAGAAACCTTAATGAAAATGTATTATACTCCTCCTGACTCAAGCAAATGTATCTGATTTAATCATTTGAAAGCAAAAGTCATTATAACTATGCTTGCAAGTTAAAAAAAGCATTGTATGTTCTAAAGCAAGCATCAAGAGCATGGTATTGCAAAAGCTAGTGAGTTTCTAGTTCCATGTGTTTATGAAGAGATTTGTCAAATCAGAAAGAACTTGTCTGCACACTTCCAAATCAAAGAATTCAATGAATTGAAGCATTTTCTAGGAGTTAGAGAAGAAGGTACAGATGAAATAAATCTTGGCTATGTTAGAGTGACTCCAAAACGAAGAGGAAGCACTTGTTCACAGCAAATGAGTAGTAGATAACAAGGGCAATATGCAAGAAAAAAAATAAAAGAAACAAGTGGAAGATCAAAGTGGCAGCAAGATAAAAACTCTCAAGCAAGGGGAGTTCGAGGCAGCAAGATGAAAAATGTCAACATCCTAAAAGCTTCAAGCATCAAAGTGGTGAATGCTTAAATTATGGCAAAAAGGGGTATTATGCAGGTGACTGCAGATTCGAGGAGAAATCTGTCCAACAATGGGACATTGAGACATCATTTGGAAGGCTGGGCTTATTGAAAGTGCTGCAATTAATCAGAGTGAGATGAATAAGATGCTGAGGCATCATTTGCTAAGGATGAACTTACTGAAGTTGATAATGTTGGAAATATAAGCAAGGGAATAGAAATAATAAAAAAGAATTTTGACTTTGAAGTGTGAAGAGCACTCTTTTAAGGGCAATTATGCCTCTAAGATACAACAAAACTTCAAACTCTCCAATCAGAAATAATGACCATGGTTATATTGAATGATCTATATTTATAATGAATGAATAGACATAAATTTCTATTCAAATCATTATGACCATTTGTATAATCATAACTTATATGAATAATTTTCTATTTATATTTAAATAGTTATGATCATTTGTCATATAATAATTATTTATGTTCAAAAATAATTATTCAAAATATGAATAAAATTAATACAAAAATTAAATTTATTCACTCATAATTAAATCTTGGGTAAACTTTAGAAATATAGTCTGTGGTTAAAGCCGAAATAAAAAGTACTCCCTGAGGTTTAAAACGTGACACTTAATTACCTTATGATTTGTTTTATTGTTTTTTTACCGTTACTTTTTCCGTTTCTTTTTATTTTTTCCTTTTTTTCATCTAAATTCATACTCTCTCTTTAAAAATTCTTTCTTTCTCTCTAAAAATTTATTCTCTCTCTAAAACCTAAACCAATCCACAAATAACAACCTTTAAATCACCAAAACCTCCACACCACTAACACTATCACAAGTTCACATCGCCACCAAACTTCATCCTTAACTCATTCTCTCTCTCTCTTAAAATTCATTCTCTCACTTTCTACAACCACCAAACCCTTTCTCTTTTTCTAAATGTTCTTCTTCAAGAACAAATTCATCAACCAATACTCAAATCCCAGAATCAGGTGAACCCATCGTCGCTGCTACTTCACCACCATATGTTGACATCGACAAACCTGTAAAATACCCTTAATAGCTTCCTTGTCGTTCCTTTTTTTTTTTTTCCTGGTGTTTGTCTCACCTTTTCAATATCTATGAAAACTATAGATTCTTAATTAGGTTGCCTTTTTAGGTTTCCCCCTTGTAGGTTATTGGAGATAATTTTGTTTGATTCTTTGAGTGGATTATTGGTTTTAATGGCAGGGTCAATTGTCTGATAATGGTGAAGGTAATGGTGATGGATTGCTATTGGATTTGGTGGTAATTACTTAGTCTGGTGGTGATGTTAAACTTGTAATGGTGGTGGTGGTGTGGAGATTCCGATTGTTCAGAGGTTGCTGTTTGTGGATTGGTCTAAGTTTAGAGAAAGAATTAGTTTGGTTTTAGAGAGAGAAAGAGTATGAATTCAAATGAAGAAAAAGGAAAAAAAATTAAATCTTAGGAGATACTTTCATTTTGGCCTTAACTACAAGATATATTTATGAATTTAACCCTTAAATCTTTTCATTCAATGTGAGATGTACCACATTATAAACTACCAACAGATAAGAACTTTAATTTTTGACATGATAGAAGTTTAGGAGAGAAGTCTCTCAACCAAGAACGCAAGCAAGCTATGCCAATGTGGAATTGGAAGCAAAAGATGAATTAATAAAAAGAGCCACCAAGTTAAAAGGAAGCATCACAAGATATCAAGTGGATTACCATTTGATGGCTCTAACCGTTGATGCTGAAACCCACTACTCCCAGCACCATAATTAGGATTTCCATACCATTTGACATGGGGATCAAAAAAGCATATCCGCATATCCATATAGGAAACACATACAATAAAATCATCATTATTCTTGCTTCAAGACAAAAAGGTTAAAAGGGCATAAAGCTCAAAGTTTGTTTTAAGGCAAATGTATCAGTCTGAGTCAAGCCTAAAAACCTTAATGAAAATTTATCATACTCCTCCTGACTCAAGCAAATGTATCTGATTTAATCATTTGAAAGTAAAAGTCATTCTAACTATGCTTGCAAGTTAAAGAAAGCATTGTATGTCCTAAAGCAAGTATCCAGAGCATGGTATTGCAAAAGTTAGTGAGTTTCTAGTTCTATGTGTTTATGAAGAGATTTGTCAAATCAGAAAGAACTTGTCTGCATGCTTCCAAATCAACGAGTTCAATGAATTGAAGCATTTTCTTGGACTTGGAGAAGAAGGTACAGATGAAATAAATCTTGGCTATATCAGAGTGACTCAAAAACGAAAAGGAAGCACTTGTTCACAGCAAAAGAGTAGTAGGTAACAAGGGCAGTATGCAAGAAAAATAAAAGAAACGAGTGCAAGATCAAAGTGGCAGCAAGATAAAACTCTCAAGCAAGGGGAGCTCAAGGCAGCAAGATGAAATATGTCAACATCCTAAAAGCATCAAGCATCAAAGTGGTGAATGCTTAAATTATGGCAAAAGGGGGCATTATGCAAGAGACTGCAGATTCGAGGAGAAAGGGACATTGAGATATCATTAGCAAGGCTGGGCTTATTGAAAGTGCTGCAACTAATCAGAGTGAAGATGAATAAGATGCTGAGGCACCATTTGCTAAGGATGAACTTATTGAAGTTGATGATGTTGGAAATATAACTAAGGGAATAGAAATAATAAAAAAGAATTTTGACTTTGAAGTGTGAAGAACACTTTCTTAAAGGTAATTATGCCTCTAAGATACAACAAAACTTCAAACTCTCCAATTAGAAATAATGAAAATGGTTATATTGAATGATCTATTTATAATGAATGAATAGATATAAATTTCTATTCAAATGGTTATAACCATTTGTATAATCATGACTTACATGAATAATCTTCTATTTATATTTAAATAGATATGATCATTTGTTATATAATAATTGTTTCTATTCAAAAATAATTATTTAGAATATGAATAAAATTAATAAAAAAAATTAAATTTATTCACTGATAATTAAATCTTGGGTAAACTGTGATCCTTGAGGTTTAAAATGTGACAGGTACCCTATTTTATCATTTGTTTTATTGGTTTTTTTACCCAAAATCGTTATTTTTTCTTTTTTTTTACTTTTTTAATTTTTTTCCTTTTTCTTCATCTAAACTCATACTCTCTCTCTAAAAATTCATTTTTTCTTTCTAAAAATTCATTATCTCTCTAAATCCCAGATCCATGCCACCAATACCATTACAAGTTCACATCACCACCAGACTTCATCCTTAACTCATGCTCTCTCTCTAAAAATTCATTCTCTCTCTAAAACCACTAAACCCTTTCTCTTTTTCTAAATGTTCTTCTTTAAGAACAAATTCATCAACCAATACTCAAATCCCATAATCTGGTGAACACCATCATTGCTGCAACTTCACCACCGTATGTTGACACCGACAACCCCATAAAATACCCTTTCTAGCTTCCTCATAGTTCCCTTTTTTTTATTTGGTGTTTGTCTCCTCTTTTCAATACCTATGAGAACCAGAGATTCTTAATTTGGTTGTCTTTTTTAGGTTTCCTATTTGTAGGTTATCGGAGATGATTTTGTTTGATTCTTTGGTTGGATTATTGGTTTTAGTGGCAGGGTTGATTGTTTGATAATGGTAAGGGTAATGGTGACATATTGCTATTGGATTTGGTGGTAACTATCTAGTCTGGTGGTGATGTTAACTTGCACTGGCGGTGGTGGTGTGGAGATTCCAGTTGTTTGAAAGTTGCTGTTTGTGCATTGGTATGAGTTTAGAAAAATAATTGGTTTGATTTTAGAGAGAGTGTATGAATTCAAATGAGGAAAAAGGAAAAAAAGAAAAATATAATGGTTTTGGGTAAAAAAATAATAAAACAAATCATAGGGTAGTTAAGTGTTACGTTTTAAATCTTAGGGGCACTTTCATTTCGGCCTTAACTACAGGGTATATTTATGAATTTAACCCTTAAATCTTTTTATTCAATAAGATGTACCACATTATAAACTACCGACAGATGAGAACTTTGATTTTTGACATGACAGAAGTTTAGCAAAGAAGTCTCTCAACAAAAAATGTAAGCAAGCTATGCCAATGTGGAATTGGAAGCAGAAGATAATTAATTAAAAGAGCCACCCAGTTAGAAGGAAGCATCACAATATATCAAGTGGAGACAGGCAATGAATGAAGAAATTTAAGCTTTGGAACAAAATCAGACTTGGGATTTGGTGCCTATACCGGGTGATCCAAGGCTCATTTTTTGCCAAAGCTGAAGTGGAGTACCATTTGATGGCTCTGACCTTTGATGCTGAAACCCAGTATTACCAGCATAGTATTCGGCAAGGTCAAAGGTGCCAGAAAAGTGTCTCGGCATACAGGCAGCAGAATCGCTTATCCGCTTATCTATATAGGAAACATATGCAATAAAATCATAATTATTCTTGCTTCAAGCCAAAAAGATTAAAGGTGCATAAAGCTCAAAGTTTGTTTTCAAGCAAATGTATTGGTCTGAGTCAAGCCAAAAACCTTAATGAAAATTTATTGTACTCCTCCTGACTCAAGCAAATGTATCTGATTTAATCATTTGAAAGCAAAAGTCATTCTAACTATGCTTACAAGTTAAAGAAAGCATTGTATGTTCTAAAGCAAGTATCAAGAGCATGGTATTACAAAAGATAGTGAGTTTCTAGTTCCATGTGTTTATGAAGAGATTCGTCAAATCAGAAAGAACTTGTCTGCACGCTTCCAAATCAAAGAGTTGAATGAATTGAAGCATTTTCTTGATTTTGGAGCAGAAGGTAGGCATTATAACTTTTCTGATGTCAAAAGGGAAAATTAAAAACAAGAGAATCCCATGGAAATAAATAAATCCTAACTCCTTAGGGAGCTTGTAGAAGTGAAGTGAGCAAATCTAAAATAGGCGATATTGAACATATTTTAAAAAAGAAAAGAACAAAAGAAACTTTTCATTGATTTATATCAAATTTAATTAATTCAGATTTTTTAAAATCTTAATACTATCAATTTTATCATTTGTAACAGAAAACATCTAAATACATCTAAAGCTTTCATAAAAACAGTCATATTGTATTTACTGCTTCGAAAGAAATTAAAAAAAAAAAAATCCGAGTACCTTCCATATGAGCCGTCTTTTTGTACTCAAATAGGTCATTGAATAATTGAGGCACTGAAGCAACAGGGTATCCAAGTAATTCCAAAATAAGGAGATGTTTACGAAACTCAGACGCCCTGGTAGAAAGGATATCAATGCAGGCACGACGCTTACGAAATGATAAATTGCAAAAGATCTTATGAAACTCATCACGGTTATCTCGAATCAGACCATGGAGGTTATCTGGAAGAGAAGGGAGAAGCAAATTAAGGAACTTATCAACATCAATGGTATCGGTATTGTTCTCAGCCATAATTGTATGAGAAAAAAGAGCGATTTCAGAAATGCAGATTCGATCGAATTTAGATTTTAGAAAGATAGGGAAAACAAAATACTCTAAAATCTTTGAAACCCTATTTTTATCTTCTTCTTTTATTTTTTTTTATTATTTTTTTTACAAAAAACGCGTGGTGGTGTTGGTGGTGGACCCCTCTTCATATTTTATTTGAATAAGATTGCCACCGTTGATATTATATTATTTTTTGCCTTCGATCGATTAATAGCTTTGTAACCCTTTGTTTCTATTCATTTTCAGATTCAAGATGGAGCTGATTTTCAGAAAGAAGATAGAACGACTGTTTGCCTCCGCCGTCGATCTCTCCGTAGCTAGAAATAATTTGTATGTCTCCTCCGTCATCGGCATCATCCTTTGCCTGCTTCCCCGTAAAAATATAGGAGGAAATCTCTTCGAGGGACAGCCATCGGCCTTCTATGCCCTGGTAATATCTGTCGTATTTACTTTCACCGGTTCGTTCACGGCGTTGATGATAGGAGATAACTCCAAGACTTCAAGATTCTGCACACTTTATTCCTTGGTCGCCATGATTTTAGCTTCATCAATTCTCGCTCATGTGTTTTTAACATGAATAGGTGCCTTCTACTTCTCTTACAATAACCATATCTCTTCTTCTGCATCTGGCGTTGAGTCTTTGGATCTGGTGATTGTAGGATCTAGCCTTGGTTTTTTTTTTTTTTTTCTTTTGAATGAAGTATCTGGTTATTATCGGCGAGTTATTGGGTAGTAAACGGACTCTATGTTCTTTAATTCTCCTGCATTAAGCAAGAAATTATGTTGTTCGAAACTTCTGCATAATCTCTTTGTTAAAAAGCTTGACAGAGCAATTACTTTTTTTTTTCTCTTAACAAAATTTGCTATGGCAATTTGGTCCCGTTTTGCAGAACCCTAATTCTCAAAATTCCCTCGTTATCCTCAATCTCTACGAAATCATCTCAATTCTTACTAGATATTCACTCCCAAATCTTAACAATGGTGAAACTGAAAGAATTTTTTTAATGGATAATAAAATTCTTATTTCAATATCTATATAAGAGGAAAAGCATGCTACAACTTGTTGCTGCATATGACTCGAACTTGTATGAATGCATCCTTGTACGCAAGCTTGATAGGAAGAGTTCGGAAAGATTTCCCCTTCATAGTAGAGATGAACCTCTTGAACTTATCTATCAGTTTTTGAACTCTTATTCAAGTAGCTTGATTATGTTGTCGAGTCGAACTTGAGTACATAAAATAAGAATCAAATCAAGCTTGAGTTATGAGCTTTGTGATCAATCCAAGTTCCAACTTCTCACTGCCTCTCTCCATGGTATTCCAAATTTTGCAATGTATGTTTTTTATTTTGAGAATGGAAACACTTTCATTAAATGGAAATGAAATGATGTAACATCAACTTGGGTACCATCTGCATCTGATACAAAATATACTCTAAACTAGCAATATTGTCAGCCACTGTATTAGCTTCATGGAAAGCATGCTGAAAAGAACAAATTCAGCAGGTAATTCTTTCATGTCCTCCAGTACTATTTCACAATCCATCATGTTTGAATCATCTTTCTGCACTTTAAGAATTGCTTTAACCGAGTCCCCTTCCAGTATAATCTCAGAGCACTGCCTGCATTTGTTGCTGTTGAGGCACGTCTTCACCTTGCCAGAATGATGGCAAAAAAAAAATTCACCTGATCATTTCCTGATCTAAGCATGGATTTCGAACACCTTTTTACTCCAGTTTTTTGGGGATGATATGTCAGAAAAGATAGTATCAATGATGTCTTCTTCATCACTGGAGACTTTGGAAGTTCGATGGTAATAGACATATGTTGAAGCTTGAATCTAGGCTTGTAGACCTTGTTATGGCAACTTTCTCAATCTCTCTGATTATTTCGTTTTCATCTATAGTTTGGTGTAAATTTTGATCAACTCACTTCGAGGAACGTTCTTTTCAAGAACATTCACACTTCATTTTGGATCACTTCTGTCTTGTAATTTCTTATTCCTTGAAATGCCCAAATTTTGTACTAATTCAACTGTTAATTTACAATTAGTAATTAAAATCACAACCAAATTAAGTCTCCACGTATATAGAACATCACTTCCTTTCTTCATTTATAGAGTCTTCAACTTGACAAAGCAGCACAGCATCGTAACCAGCTAAGACAAAGGAAAAACATGACATCGACATTCTTCTGCAAAATGAAGGGTACTCCTATTCTAAGGACATCCAACATCAAATGGTTAAAACTGGAAATCTCAACTTGAAAGTCTGGTGTTTGAATCCTGCAATTGTAGGAGCATGATCATGAAATAGGAAAGAGCTATGTCCTTAGACGAAGGCCTGGTGAATCTCCTTATGTATGAAAAAAGCTTGAAGGGGGTTAGTCATGCAAGAGAAAGTTCTGAGAGGAAACACGATTACATGCCATTTTGCACATTGTCTCACCTATAACATGAGCCAACTAACTAAGCTAGAAAATTCCCGTGCCGTGCATTGAATGCCAGCTTAAAATTACCTTCAATGTAACAAAAAGGATATGGTCTGATTGGACTAATTTCCTCTCTTGACACCAATCTTCTGTGCACTGAATTATTCTCAGTTTGGATGCATTTTTAATCGTATGTGGTAAATTTCTCATCTTCATGCATGCCTTAATCAATATTGTCTCCAAAGAGGGCATTGTAAAGAGACATGAGAAATGGAGCATAGTTCTGGCAAGTCACGGAGCTGCAAAATTTTCAACTTGGGAAGGGCGTGGGATTCAGACTATATTTACATCTTCAATAATCTCCTCCATGATATAGCAGTCCTCCACCTGCAGCTTTTGTAACTGAGAGAGTCGAATGATCATCCCATACGGAAAAAGCATTCTAATGCTATGGCATCCTTTTAATGTGAGAGTTGTGAGGCTACAGAGGCTTTTAGATTCTATTGATCCTCGCCAGATATCCTTCAATTTTGGTAGATTGTATATGTGTAGGCTTTTCAAGCGTTCAAATTCAACACCTGTGCTGTCATTGACTTGAAATGCGATACCTGTTCTGTCTCTGTCTATGATGCTCTCCAATTCATTGCATTCCTCAATGATACATGCTTCCAAACCTTGTAAGTAATCAGAACGGAAGACTGATAAACTGGTAGCAGTTTGGTGACCAATCAGTTCAAAAGCTTTTGCTTGCCTTAGTACCTGTGAAATAGAATCAGGAAATCTGTCTCCTTCAGAAAACCTCAGGTGCTTTTCTGCTGAGCATTCAAAGACTCTAAATTCAGATGCAGAACTGTTTCTCTGACAACCAACAACGATGCTGAATGATCTGAAGTTATTGCCTGCTGAAGGTGTATCATTTCCTTTCCATGATTTGCTATTCTGGATGAAAGCTTTGAAAGACTCCATCTCAGGGAAGAAGAAACAAAGAGTTGTTAACTCTTCCAACTGCATTTTGATATCTGCTGCTTCTATGGCTCACACCAATGCTCAGTTCTTCTAACTTAGAAAGCCTTGCAATCACATTAGAAGGAATCATCGGCTTCATGTCTTCAACATGGTTGTGGTTACCAACATGTTCTGTGAAAGAAACTCTCAAGCATTTTAGATTAGCCAATTGTCCAATCTCAATGGGCAAACCATAGAGACTGGTGTGACGTATATCAAGGATTTCAAGGTTCTGGAGATCTCCTATCTGAGAAGGAAGCTGTACTAACTGACTAAAGTTGTTTAAAAAGAGCCCTTTCAGATTTATTAAGCTGCAGATAGATGATGGGAGTGCAGTGATTCTTGTTTGATACAAGTTAAGAACTTGAAGACCACACATATAGCCAAAGAATTCCCTCGGAAATTCAGTCAAGCTACTCTCCTGTAGTAACAATGTTAAGATCCCACAACATTGGGGTCTTCTTGGTATAGTGGATAGGCAAACCCGAAAGAGTGAGACTCTCCTTGCACGTTCCCACTCTTCCAGTATAATGTTTTCATCCTCAGTAATGAAAACATTTGAATTCTCTTTGAGATTTGCAATCCTTAATGCCACCCGTTGAAAATGCTCATACATCTTGAAATGCCCCCACTTTCTTCCCTTTTCAAGTAAGGACTTTCTCACAAATTCATCTAATATGGCATGCCCCCTGTCACGTGTCCTTGGAAGCTTTCTTAGGCTTGAAAGGAACTGTTCTGCTCTCCAGCAATCAATTATATGGTCTCGAAAAATTTCATAACCAGCAGGAAAAACAGCCCAATACAGCAAACAAGGCTTCATCTCTTCAGATAGTCTTTCATAGACAAGTTTGAAAGCCTTGTAAACTTCTTCCAGTTGTTCTTGCGGTTCCATTCTAGGGGATCTTAATTGGGACAACATATCCCGCCATATTGCAGGGTCATCCACCCTTGCCAATCTATTGCCTATTAACTTGATCATGTGCGGCATGCCACCACATTCATTGATAATGAGTTTTGCAACTGGCTTGATATCTCAAATTTACCAGATGCACCCACCGTGTTATGCAAATTTTCCATTATCGTGGTCTTCCCCACTCCCGGAGGTCCCCAAATGCAGATTCTTTTCAATTGCTCATCCTCTAGCCACTCAACCAGTGTTTCTGCACGCGAATCAAATGATGGCACATCACTTTTTTTCCGAGCATGCTTCTCTATAACAGGAATAGGTGGTGCTGGTGGCTTCTCATGCATTATAGTTATTTGGGTTAGCTGATTCCTCAGCTCAACTACCGCTGCTGTCTTCTTTACAATATGCTTGCCAAGCTTCAGCAGACCAGGAAAGGGACATAGTCCACACAAGAATGTGCTGGTATTTTTGTACTCAACCTTTAGTCTTTCAATCTCCTGTCTCATTTTATCCACCTCATTGAGCCAGGTTTCACATCTGTTTGTCTTTTCTTTCGTCAATTTGTTCCTATCCAGAGTTATTTTAACATCTTCATCTTCATTACACAGATATAATTCCTCCTTCTCAAGCTTGGCCATATTCTCTTTTATATTCTTCACATAGCCATATTTGCACTTCAAACAGTTAAATATACCCTTCCCACCTTCCACTGCCGGTGTAACTAGCGAACCAGCCGCTTGGCCAGCTGCTTGCACTGCCAGAGCTTCCATCCTGCCAATCACTTTCTGAAAAAGTAGATCAGTATAAGTGAAATCATGCTTTAGTCTCGAGCAATATCCATATATAGTATCATATTTTTTGTGATCTTAAGCCCACAAATTGGTAGTTGCCATTGGATATCACAGCAAAAACATGATCTAAAACAGTACTATTCTACCCATTGAGGCATCGACCATTGTTAAATAGGAGTAACAGACAAATCATTGGTAATTTAATTGATTGTTTTCAAGATTGGACATGAATTACTGCCACCAATGGCTACTTTTTTTTTTCTTCTGCTAAGAGTCAACCCTGCCTCTTAGTTACCGGAGGCAACGTTTCCTATCACCCAATAATCAGAATCAACTTGAAATGGAAAAACTTGTCAAAATTTCAACATCTCAACATCTTCTCAAGGATGTACTGATTACATGCAATTTACACAGAAGTTTTCGAGTTTTTCAACTTTCAACAGAACCCATCCAAAAATAACCCAAAAGATCTTGAATTCCAAGAAACATCTGAGCTACACACATGAAAGAGATACTTAAACAAATTAAAAAAAACAAAACAAAGAGAACGATATGACATTGTAGTTGTTTGAAGCAACACAACACAGTTCAGACAAGAAAAGAAAAAGTGGGCATACCTGTAAATCGAGTTTGTTTAGTTCAGTTGCGTTCTGTCTGGGAATTGGGTTGGGTGGTCTTTTTCTGGTTCCTGCCTGGGGTGTTCCTGTTTGAGGTTTCTATCTGTCTTCCTGGAAGTTGACCTGAGGCAGGTCAGGCTAGGTCAGCCAGCCAGTTTCAAGCTCAGAATCTCAAAGAAGTCAGTCAATAATGTTCCAGCCAGCCCAAATGATTATACAGTAGAGGGACCCACTCATCCCTGTCGCCTCCTTCTATCTTATTTTCATTGCCTTTTTTTTAGCATTTATTTATTTATTTTTCCCAGCTTGCCTCGGTCCAATAGTTGCTCCATTTTCCGTACTTTTATTTTTTATTTAAAAAAAAAACAGAAAGACTATTTTCCGAAGTTGAAAAGTAAAAACAAATGTTTTTTTTTTTAAAGATACGGTGCATTTAAGGATAACTTTTTTTGTTTTACCAAATTATTAATGCTAGAAATGTTTTAAGACATTTTTTGAAATTGTTTTAAAGACTGTTAAGTGGCAACAAAAAGTTTTCTTTTCTGTTTAGTAAAATCCAATGAAGCTGAGGAAATTGGCCTAATTGGAAACCTGCCCATGAAAGCAAAAGCAACTCATCAAAAGGAAGGATGAATCATAAGAATTTATCTAATGAACCAGCCTCCTTTTTCTTCTTTTGATGGCCTGCAATATTTTCTACACCATGTCATTTATAGCAAGAAATTGAATAGTATGTGTCACCTATGAATTTTTAGCATAGTTCAGAACCACAGGTTTGGTCCATTGGCTAGTGTTTTATGTGTTTTATGGCTCCTGCTGGATTTCAGGGTTTTCCCCCATTAACCAGAGCCAAAAAGGAAAAGAAATGCAGTATTCAACTCCTTCCCATCTTCCAAATGTGAAAGAAAATAAAAAAGCAAAGATAAAAAGATGGAGCAGATCATGCAACCATTTCAGGTAGGTAAAGGCATCAATTGTTAGAGGTTGGGGAGATACAGATCCAGGATTCAATGTCCTCACCACCTTGCATCCTGACCATTGTACCAAATTAAATAAATAAATAAATAATAAGGGCATACCAATAAGAAGATAAAATTATAATTTTCCTTGTTGCTGGTAATCTGGAATCTGGAGATTGTTACCTGACATCAAGGGATCCTGCAACTTTTTTAAATATTTGCAAGAACACTGATAACCGGATTCTTAATTGCTTATTAAGTATAATTCAAATTTTGATTATTGTATAAACTAGATAGACAAAATTCCTAGTACTATGATTAAGAATTATACTGTACCTTCTCAGAAGACAAATTACCTTAAATTCCCTCGTCCAACTCAAAATAGTCATTTTGAATAGCGTCCCACTTGACTTTTTTGTTTCGTGTTTTAACGCCATAACCTTTAGGACTCCATCAAGACTACCTGTGCAGATTGTGCAACCATCTTCAACCTCCTCCCCTGAATGTCCCAAAAATGCAGTAACACATCTGATAGGTCCTCTGTGGCCTACCAAAACTGCTAGACAAACATGTTGACCATCTTGTTCCCTACTCCAAACCCTGCTAGATGAATCAGCTGAACCACTAATCACATAATTGGACACACTGGCTAAGCAGATTACTGCATGAGTGTGACCTTGGAGGGCGCCGCCGTATTGCAGTTGGCCTGACAACCAACCCTTAAGCCAGTAATGTACGTAGCCATCGGTACACCCTCCATATAACACTCCCCCGTCTGCAGTTAAAGTTAGAGTTTTAACAGGTAAGCATTTGGCTGGTAAGGTTACCATGAGCGAATGTGGCCATTCCCCTCTACAAAAATTTCGACGCCAAACTCTGATTGTGGCATCATCAGAGGCAGTGTATAGTATTCCATCGTCAGCCACAACGATAGCATTGATTGGTTCTGAATGTGCAGGGATGTTCTCAATGCATTTGAGGTCTGATATTCTCCACACTTTCACAGTTTTATCAACAGATGCTGAGTATAGAATGTTATCTGATATGTTGACTGCTAGTGATGTTATTGAACTTATTGAAGTTGATGATGTTAGAAAAATAAGTAAAGAAATAAAAATAATAAAAAAGAATTTTGACTTTGAAGTGTAAAGAATATTTTTTTAAAAGTAATTATATCTTTAAGATACAATAAAATTTTAAACTTTTTGATCATAAATAATAAAAATAATTATATTAAATGATTTATTTCTAATGAATAAATAGATATAAATTTTATTCAAATGGTTATGATTAATTGTATAATCAAGACTTATATGAATAATTTTTTATTTATATTTAAATAATTATGATAATTTATCATATAATAATTATTTTTATTCAAAAAAATTATTTAAAATATAAATAAAATTAATATAAAACTTAATTTTATTTACTAATAATTAAATCTTTTTATCCAATATAATATCCATCACATTCTAAACTATTCACAAACGAGAACTTTGATTTTGACATGACAGAAGTTTAGCAAAGAAGCCTCTCAACCAAAAACGAAAGCAAGCTATGCCAATGTGGAATTGGAAGCAGAAGATGAATTAATTAAAAGAGCCACCAAGTTATAAGGAAGCATCACAAGGTAGCAAGTGGAGACAAGCAATAAATGAAGAAATTTAAGCTTTGGAACAAAATCAGACTTGGGATTTGGTGCCTATACCGGGTGATCCAAAGCGCCTTTCTTGCAAAAGCTGAAGTGGAGTACCATTGGATGGCTCTGAACTTTGATGCTGCAACCCAGTACTACCACCGCCATTATTAGGATTTCCGTAGTATTCGTCAAGGGATGCAGAAAAGAGTCTCATCATATCTATATAAGAAACATATACGATAAAATCATCATTATTCTTGCTTCAAGCCAAAAAGGTTAAAAGGGCATAAAGATCAAAGTTTTTTTCAAGCAAATGTATTAGTCTGAGTCAAGCTAAAAACCTTAATGAAAATTTATTATACTCCTCCTGACTCAAGCAAATGTATCTGATTTAATCATTTGAAAGCAAAAGTCATTCTAATTATGCTTGCAAGTTAAAGAAAGCATTGTTTGTTCTAAAGCAAGTATCAAGAGCAGGGTATTGCAAAAGTTAGTGAGTTTCTAGTTCCATGTGTTTATGAAAAGATTTGTCAAATCAGAAAGAACTTGTCTGCACGCTTCCAAATGAAACAGTTCAATGAATTTAAGCATTTTCTTGGACTTGGAGCAGAGAAGATAGGCATTATAACTTTTCTGGTGTCAAAAGGGAAAAATTTAAAACAAGAGAATCCCATGGAAATAAATAAATCCTAACTCCTTAAGGAGTTTGAGGAAGTGAAGTAAGCAAATTTAATATCGGTGATATTGAACATATTTAAAAATATTTTTTCATTGATTTATATCAAATTTAATTAATTCAGATTTTTTTTATCTAATACTATCAATTTTATCATTTTTAACTGAAAACATCTAAATACATCTAAAGCTTCATAAAAAGTCATATTGTATTTACCGCTTCCAAAGAAATTAAAAAAAAAAATCGAGCACCTTCATAAATTTCTTTCCGGAAGAACCAAAAAACATACCGAATAATTCAGACACTGAATCAACAGGGTATCTGGATTCCATTTGAAGGAGCAGATTACAAAAATCGGACGCCCTCCCAGAAAGGATATGAATGTAGGCACCACCCTGATAGAGTGATAAATCGCAAAAGTTCTTATGGAACTCATCACGTTTTCTCGAATCAGATCATGGAGGTAATCTGGAAGAGCAGTGGGAAGCAATTAAGGAACTTATAGAAATCAACTTCAGTTTTGAATGGTATCGGTATTGTTCTCAGCCATAATTGTTTGCGAAAAAAAAAAAAAACGATTTGAGAGATGCAGATTCGAATTTAGATTTTAGATATACAGGGAAAACAAAATGCTCTAAACTTTAAAACCTTAATTTTATCTTTTTAGACTTTATTTTACAAAAAACGCGTGGTGATGATGTGGTGGACCCCTCTCCATTTTTTATTTGAATAAGATTGGCACCGTTGATATTATATTATTTTTTTCCCTTGATTAATAGCTTTGTAACCCTTGTTTCGATTCATTTTCAGATTTAAGATGGAGCTGATTTTCAGAAACAAGATAGAACCACTGTTCGCCTCCGCCGTCGATCTCTCCGTGGCGAGAAATAATTTATATGTCTCCTCCGTCATCGGCATCATCCTTCGCCTGCTTCCCCGTAAAAATATAGGGGGAAATACAGTTCCACTACTCTTCGAGGGACAGCCATCGGCCTTCTATGCCCTGGTAATATCTGTTGTATTTACTTTCACCGGTTCTTTCACGGCGTTGATGATAGGCGATAGCTCCAAGACTTCAAGATTCTGCACGCTTTATTCCTTGGTCGCCATGATTTTAGCTTTATCAATTCTCGCGCATGTCTTTTTATCCTGAGTGCTTCTTAGGTTCCTTCTGCTTCTCTTCCAAGATCCAAGCCTCTTCACCTGTCTCTGGCTTTGAGTCTTTGGATCTGGTGATTATAGGATCTAGCCTTGTTTTTCTTTTTATCTTTTTTCCTTTTGAATGATGTATCTGGTTATTATCGGCGAGTAAACCAACTCTATGTTCTCTAGTTCTCCTGCATAAAGCAAGAAATTATGTGTTGAAACTTTTGCATAATCTGTTTGTTAAAAAGCTTGGCAGAGCAATTACTGTTTTTTTTTCTTAACAAAATTTGTTATGGCAATTTGGTCCCTTTTTGTAGAAACCCTAATTCTCAAAATTCCCTCCTTATAATCAATCTCTACGAAGTCATCTCAATTCTTACTAGATATTCACTCTCAAATCTCAACAATGGTGAAACTGAAAGATTTTTTTTTAATGGATAATAAAATTATTATTTCAATATCTAAATAAGAGGAAAAGCATGCTACAACTAGTTGCTGCAGATGATTCGAACTTGTTTGAATGCATCCTTGCACGCAAGCTTGATAGGAAGTGTTCAGAAAGATTTCAGAAAGATTTCCTCTTCATAGTAGAGATGAACCTCTTGAACTCATGCTTTATCTATCAGTTTTTGAACTCTTATTCAAGTAGCTTGATTATTTTGTCAAGTCGAACTTGAGTACATAAAATAAGATTCAAATCAAGCCTGAGTTATGAGCTTTGTGATCAATCCATGTTCCAACTTCTCACTCGCTCTCTCCATGGTATTCCAAATTTTGCAATGTCTATTTTTGATTTTGAGAATGGAAACACTTTTTATTAAATGGAAATGAAATGATGTAACATCAACTTGCATACATCTGCTTCTGAATCTAACGAAGCAAGCTCCTGATACAAAATGTACTCTAAACTAGCAATATTGTCAGCTACTGTATTAGCTTCATGGAAAGCATGCTGAAAAGAACAAATTCAGCAGGTAATTCTTTCAAGTCTTCCAGTGCTATTTCGCAATCCATCATGTTTGAATCATCTTTCTGCACTTCAAGAATTGCTTTAACCGAATTCCCTTTCGCTGTATTCTCCTTTATCCACGGTGAAGGGAATTTGAAGATCAAATCATAATGCTAAAATTTCCTTTGCCCTGCATTTGCTGCTGTTAAAAGCACATGTCTTCACCTTGAGAGAATGATGGCAAGTAACTACTCCCAGCTTGGCCAAAACATTCACCTGATCATTACCTGATCCAAGCATGAATTTCGAACACCTTTTTAACATTCACACTCCTTTTTGGATCACTTTTCTTTAGTCATTTCTTATTCCTTGAAATGCCCAAATTTTTTAATTTAACTGTTAATTTACAATTAGTAATTACAATCACAACCAAATTAAGTCTCCACGTATATAGAAATACCATTATGGCTAGTACATCTTGTATAAGAAACAATAAACAAACAGAAAAACCATCTTAGAACTTGAGAAACTACAACATAAACGTAGATCAAAACCGGACTTGAACTAAAAAGGATTCAAGGTCCTTGCCATTGGGGACATTGCTGCATTGGCACACACTTCCTTTCAACCTTTATAGAGTCTTCAACTCGACAAAGCAGCACAGCATCGTAACCAGCTAAGACAAAGGAAAAACATGAGATCAACATTCTTCTGCAAAATGAAGGGTACTCCTATTCTAAGGACATCCAACATCAAATGGTTAAAACTGGAAATCTCAACTTGAAAGACTGGTTCTTGCAACTGTAGGAGCATGATTACGAAATAGGAGAGAGCTATGTCCTTAGACGAAGGCCTGCTGAATCTCCTTCTGTACGAAAAAAGCTTGAAGGGGGTTAGTCATGCAAGAGAAAGTTCTGAGAGGGAACACATAATTACAGGCCATTTCGCACATTGTCTCACATACAACATGAGCCAACTAACTAAGCTAGAAAATTCCAGTGCTGTGCATTGAATGCCAGCTTAAATTACCTTCAATGTAACAAAAAGGATATGGTCTGATTGGACTAATATCCCCTCTTGATTCACACTCTTATGAAACTGAGAAACTTTCTCAAATCATCTTTAATAGTGTTATTTGGCCAATCCTGTTGGTTATATTAGCAAGTTCCATCCATGATAGACAGATGGAAAAGAAATTAGCAAGTTTCATTATTGTCATTTTAACTATAGTTTATCAGATTATTTAGCTATTTAGTTGCTGAAATATGTTTTGCTTGGATTTGGCATCGCCCTTTATTTCCTCTTTAGACCAAACTAGCAAGTGTTTTTTTTATATATTTATTTTTTGTGTAAAATATTTTATAGGCATTCTTTTTTTTGCCAAAAGAAAAGAACTTTAGGCATTCAGCCACACTGATTTATTGAATTTAAATTTAATTGGCTTTTATTAACTGTGGAATTTTGTTTTTTTTATTTAATAACCTAGTTTATTAGATTTTTCAGAGTCCATATAATTACCTAATTTTAAATAGGGGAAATTAATGATAATTATATTAACAATTTTTCCTTCTTTCGATAAGAAAATATAAAGAAAAATTTTGGTTAAACAATAGATAATACATACGTTTACTTCTAAGTTAATATTTGATGATTTATTATCCATACACTATTAATAAATTATGCAATAATATTTTATAAAAAATTATTTTAAATTTTTAAAAAATAAATATATTTGATTTTAAAAATGATTAAAAGTATATTTATTTAAAATTAATTTTTATCTGATATCATTGATTGTATGTTTCAATGATAGTATATAATATTTATAAATTAAATAATATATCAAATATAAATTTTTAAAAATATGCATAAATCATTTTTTGGAAAAAATCCATCAAATAACTTTGAATAATTTATAATTTCTTTTAATTGTTCTTTTTTTTTTATTAAAAATGAAATACATCTCTTAAAAAATGTTTTCCCATTGATTTAAATAAAATAAAAATGGACTAAGTGAATTTAACCAAATTAAAATAGATAACAATAAATTTAATATCAACCCGAAGTGTAATAAAAGATTTGGAAATTATCCTTATAGTAATTTAGCAAACTTTTTTGTTTTGTTTTGTTTTTTTTTTGGATATTTAGGAAAAAAAGAGAAAAAAAAAAAGAAAAAAAAAGATAAGGCCAGTGGAAACATGAAACGACGTCGCCTCCCTTGAATGCGTTTTGCCTGCTTGTAGCCGACTCCCATAGATGGAGTTGGTAGCACGGTAACGCAAGTTCTCAATAGCAGATTTGCAAGTATAGGTTCAGCTGCCGCACTGATCGACCAATACAACATCACTGCCATCCTGTGGTCAGTCTTTCTCTCCGCTTCTCAAAGTTCTTCTTTTACTTCTAAACAAAAACCCAAAACTGAAAACTTCCCTTTTTTTTCATTTAATACTTCTATCTTTTACCATTTATGGTTTTATAGTAATTCTAGAAGAAGCTAGAAGTAGGTAGTGAAGAAAAATCACATAAAGCCTTAGCTTTCAATGTTAATTTTTGTTATCTTGTTTTTTTTTTCCTATCATTTTCATTAAATTTGATTGAAAGATTGATTTTTTATTTTGTTTCAAGTAAAAATAATGTAGTTAATATGCATATATCTTTATCTTCTTATTATAAATTCTCAGTTGTCATGAAAAAAGTTTGTGCTTGAATTGTTCCTAACATGGGTTTTGCAGTTATAATTCTCTCACCCTCCAATGGCTGCTGCAATGGAAACTTCACCAGCTTTGGAGATTTTAGGTACTTAATAATCATAATCATGCTTCTCTTTAGAATTCAGCTCTATGTAATATGTTTTTTTTTTTTTTCTCATTTTTTTCAACTTTTATGTAGTTCGAGAACCGGAGGGATATTCTATCTGGAACGGGCCTCCATTCAACAATAATAATCAACTTGGGATTAAGCTTGAGAAAGTTCCTTGCACTAGTGCCAAGTTTAGCGAGGATGGTTCCAGGCTTATGGTTACGAAAGCTGATGCTGCTATTAGTGTTTATGACTCCAGCACTTTGAAAGAGATTAGATGTTTTCAAATCCCCAATGTTGCTGCTTCTGCCTTGTCCCCATGTGGGACTTATCTTCAGACCTTTCAGAAGTCTACTACACCCCAGGAAAAGAATGTGGTTTTGTGGAAAAAAGAGACTGGTGATTCTGTTTACCAGCAATTCCAGAAAAACATGACAAAAGCCACATGGTACAATATATAGGCATGCATATTTATGGTTGCACGCATTATTTGTTGTGTTATAATAGTATTCGTGAATTTTTTAAAGTGTTCAGTCTGGATGTTTGCTTAACAGTTGACAAATGATGCCAACTTGGGGCATTAAAATCCTTCATTTTTGCATCTTCTGTCTCCCTATGTCTTGTTTGCTGGGATGTGTGTCTTTGAATTGATATTTAGCTTGGTTGTAAATCTGCCTCAGGCCCTCAGTCCAGTTCAGTTCTGATGAAGCTGTTGCATGCCGGCTTGCTACAAATGAAATACAGTTTTTTGATGCTTCAGATTTCTCTAAAGGAATTTCTCATAGGCTGAGAATTCCCGGTGTGGCTGCAGTTGAGCTTTCCAAGGCTCCTGGGTCCCATGTGGCAGCATTTGTTCCAGAATCTAAGGTTGGTGTGCCCTTGGTTTCTGCAGGTTTCTTATTATGAAAATAAAGATCCTAAGAAGCATGCGGAATTGGTATCACCCTATTCTGGATTAATAATTTCCACGATTATTCTGTTAACATGGTGCATCTTGAAGTTGAACTTCAATCTGTTTTAATTATAGCTGAAAAGGAACAGGTCAAAGTTAATTAAAAGTTTATAATAAATACTATATGATTTGATTGGATAGGAACAAGGTATTTCATTATGCAAAACTTGAGTAAAATCTGGACCTTTTGTGTTTTAATTGACTTCTAAGGAGTATTTATCTTATTTGCCAATAAAAGGAATATTATCTCTAGCATTGGAAACTAGCACATGCTCTGGTTCTCCTTAATGGAACTTTGTCAAATTTAATTGCAAAATTAGAAAAAACAACTTTCTGTCAAGAAGTATCAAAGGTCAAATAATAAAAAGAGCATAGGAGTCATACTGGGGATGTTAGATACTGATAACTGACAAGAAGGGAGCAATTCAGCTTGTGGGAAGCATGTCATCAAGGGCTAGCATGTAGGAAGTCTACATATAAAGTGCCTTAAAGCTGTGGAAGTGCTTGACATGGGAGCCTAGCTTTTTACACTTACAATACATTTGGGTTTGGTTTTGTATTTTGTAGGGGAGTCCAGCTAGTGTCCAGATATATGCCTGTGGGAAAAAGTTGCAGAGCCAACCTCTTACTTGACGAAGCTTTTTCCGATGTTCTACAGTGCCACTAAATTGGAATCATGGTTCAACAGGACTTCTAGTTGTGGTGCAATCTGATGTTGATAAGACTAACCAGAGCTATTATGGAGAATCAAAACTGAACTACCTTACAACTGATGGGACCCTTGAAGGACTTGTGCCCCTTCGTAAGTTCTTGCTTAAAACTTTTGCTGCTTATTCTTTTTAGTCAGAAAGCAACATAATATTTTTTGCTTCTTCATCATGTACAATTTACTGACTATGTAACGTATATTGGCAAGTAAGGAGGGGCCTATTCATGATGTTCAGTGGTCATTTTCTGGGAAAGAGTTTGCTGTTGTTTATGGATGTATCCTTTTCTGCCTCTTAAAAAACTTGGCACTTGGTAGGGTGTTTAATGCTCGCTTGGGGTGATTGGATTTTGATTTTA